GCTGCTCGTAAAATAATAGTAATAATTTAATCATAATTTCTTTCTTCTTAGTATGATGGCTCGACACCAACCAAAAAGCGGAGCAAAGAGAGCACATGARCAGAAGGATCCTAAACTCTTTTACGACCATTTACCTCTAGCAAAGCAGATTGCCTGCTATAACTTCTTTACATTCATAAGAACACAAGGRAATCAAGGTTGGAGCCTTGAGTCACCTGGCTCTGTTTATAATTGGAGGTCTTCRAACTACATCCAAGAAAACATCAAACAAAGCAGCTGGCGAAAGATCGCCCAGGTAAGAACAACAAGTTGACAATGATGCTTGTTTGATCTTCTCCRTGGTATTGATGCRCTCATTGTTTCCTTTTCTTTCTTCCATGACCAGAGAATGGCCTCGTTGGCTCAACATCTAAGCAACAGAGGAATAGCATTAGAGGACCCTTTTGAGGAGCACAGGAAGAAAACAGTTGAACTGCAAGCCGAAGTAGTTGCTGAAGCTAYTGTTGTAGTAGACSAAGACRAACAACAAGAAGTGGACACCTCTTACGACTCCTATCCATCTCCTCCGGAAACAGAATCAGAAGAGGAACCAGAGACCCCCATGCGATCCTCAAGAACCCCCTCGGGGACCAAGAAAGCCCCCTCATCTTCAAGGAAGAAGTCCTCCACTGATACTGATGCGCTCTGTTCTGGCATGAGTTCTCTGAAGATCAAGTCTGCAGCTCGCAATCTTGTTGGTATGGTTCCAGTCCAGCCCATGGCCCGACCATTGCTTCCTACGCGTTGKGAGCAATGGGATGAAGAGATTAGTGATGTGGTTGGCTTTTGCAAGCTGGTCATGAGTCTTGATCCCACCACTGAGCTATCTGACCTTGATCTTGATTGGGTCGATGAGAGACACTTCARGATTCGCATCAAGTGGCCCCCATATMTGATCAATTACTTCAGTTTGGCAARGATGGACGTYGACGCCAGCAAGGTCCCCRTTTTTCCAMGAAGCCATCCCTCAGAGCTTGGAATGGGGAAGAATACAAATAAACTCAAGGACGGCAAGGGTGATATCTTCGAGGAATGTGTTGTCTACTTCCCTGWGAATGACATGGATACTTCCCTCTACRAGCCRAARATTCTTCAAGGAACTAGCAATGGTGTCCCCGTAAAGCTCCTYYGAATCATCTTTCATGAGGCGAGGGAGRATGGCTCTGCAAAGCCTATTGCAATTGAAGTGTCTGAGAATACTGGTGATCTATGTAAGTTAGGAGGAGAGGCCAAAGCACCAGGAGGAAGYCCMCACCACCAGGAGCCTGCATCRATGGATACGACTGATTCGGACGATATTAGTAGTTCCTCCACGCCTTTCAAAACAACARCAGCTGCTGCTGTYGATCCAAGGACTACTCCTCTTCCTGGTTCTCCCTCCAGCAGCCGTATTCGACCACGTGATGAGTTTGTTGCTCCTAGGTCTGGAAAGAAGGCAAAACC